ATTTTCTCTTAACAATTAATATTTTTTTTACCAAAAGCTTTTAGGTCATGTGACTGACAGCTACATAGTGATGCAGACAAACTTTTATAATAAAGAAATCATGATTTATTTTCCTTAAAACGTGATAAAAAATTATTCAAATTAAATGTTGGTTTCTAAGTGAATCCTTAGAAACCAACACAGAAGCAGGATTCCAACAAATGTGCAATGAAATGTCAAATAAGAAATCTATTTGTACAGTTAAATAGCAAACAGAGTTGATTTAGGGCCGAGAGTTCCTTGGATGGAATTGGAGGATTTTTTAAAGTTGATTGTTTTGAGTTTGGAAGAAGAAGGCAATTGGACTATTTTTTTTCTTGAAAATGTTTCAGCTCTACAACCATGAATGCTTGTTTAATTATTTTAGATCAGAGGTAAAATTTGAAGAAGCATGAGATGTCCAGATCCTTTTTTTATTATTATTATTTAAGCACTGAGTTACATTTTCGATAGATCTACTCCAAAGGCTAAGCCTATCTTCTTTATGTTTTGCAAACATTTTTTATTTTTTTTATTTTATGATCGTGTTGTTGGAATTCAATATATGTTCAAATTTCAACCATGTAGCTTTTAAATGAATGGGGAAGTTCAAGGGATGGATTATTGATGCACCACTGTCACAATCAGCAAATGTTGATACATAAATCTTTGTCTTGTTTGACGTAAAAGCTTTTCACCAGAAGGGAACCTTCTATGAGGGCAGTAGAAAATTTACTTGGGCTTTGTAGATGCTGAATAAGGACCAATGGGTTCATTTCTGGGCCTTCCTTCTCCTCTGTGCATCTTCTGGTTCATGAAAAGTTTGTTGCTTCTTCATGAATATAATAACCAACTTCTTTTTTTACTTGAGGTTAATAAATTAAGTTAAATGTCCAACAACACAATGGTCTCACTTATAATGAAAAACTGCTAATAGGATGGATGAGGCAGACTAGTAAACCTACTAAATAAAAGTCTATGAGGCTTCATGTCCACTGAAGTCTATCAAGCAATTTTTTTGTCTCGCTGTATTTTTTTGAGAATAATTCTGAGCATGGGTGGATCAGAGAAAACCCACAATAAATGAAAACTTTTTAATCTTATTCATGTTTTTTTAAAACCAGTTCAGCTGTATGTTGTCTAATTAGTCCACAATAATGCGGCACTTACTTAAAATGACTGATGAGGGACTGCTTGCAAGGGCTTAACCACGCTTATGAGATCAGCAGTGTGTACCACAGAGCTGTGAAGTGGCTCCATCGATCTCCACCGGTAACCACAGAAGACAGATACAACAGGCCACATCGTTAATGGAAGGAGTTCAAAGGCATCCGAATGTCCGGACTCAACCATAAAGAGCCTGAGGGACTGATATTCTGTGCACTGTTGCATCCTTTATGCAAGTCTAACAGAGTTCCCTGTATTAAATCTAGTAACTGTATTACTTTATATAATAAGAATGAGTTACATCATGCTTTTAATTTGTTTTTTATCATTTTCTGCAACTCTTGGTGAGTCAGTTATGCACAGTTTGGTCACACCCCACAGCTGGAGCTGGAGTCATCGAATCAGCAATACAAGATAATTCACCAGCAACAGCTGCATACAGGATTTTGCAAAAGGTATCCGTAGCACTACAACTTCTTTATTCTTTGTTAAGAATTGATTGGGATGTCTTGTTATAAAGAAAGCGAAATTACTAATCATGGTGTGGGAAAAGAAGGGGGCATGTTATTTCAATATCTGGGAAATATGATATATGCCACAATTTGGTCCGAGACCCCGAAATAAAATCTATTTCAATTTATAAGAAGACTAACTAATGGTATAATAAATATATACAAATCTAGGTGTTATACAGTGCTTCAGAAGTTTACTTTCTTTGAATCTGCTCCCTCTGGGGTCGGTTTTCTGGAAATATAGTGTCTCAGTTTTTAAGCAGATGACATCAGCTTGATATTTCATGAAAACCCAGCAGTTCCCATTAAGATAACATTCATGTGACAGTGGAGTGGCGACCAAGTGGTTAGTGAATAGAGCTTGGAATCCCGAGGTTCTGAGTTTGAGCCCCAATCCCACAGACTGTCACTCTGGGTCCTTAAGCAACCAACCCCACACTGCTCCCAGGGCGCCGCACAATGGCAGGCCACTGCTCCCCAAAGGGATGGGTTAAATGCAGAGGGTTTGTTTTATACTTGTGACAGTGTAATGACAATAAAATGCTGGGAGTGTGTGCTTATGTGAGAGTATAAAAGGAGCTGAACTTGTTTTTAACAGACAGCTGCCTGTTTATTTAGTAAATCTGACGGGGTGCACTCTTCTGGCTGTGTGTCATGTTTTGTACTTTTGATTTCACTCAAGGTCAAAACTCCCTTTATGCTGGACAACTCCCTCTGTGGCATGGTAGTGGAAAGTGTGAAATCCTGGCTAGCTAAGTAGAAAACTACACCCGACATTTTCCATTGTTGTCTTTAAAGAGACATGAAAACTATGAAACCAGTAAACAAGCGCAGACTTTTAGCATCATGATACTAAACCTTACAACAAAGATATCTTTGGTTTGCCTCATTTTACCAATAAGGAAAGTTTACCTTGTTGTAGTTAGGTTAATTTTATTTAGAAGTGTGCAGGTAAAATGGGATGACAACATGCAAACTAAGCAAGTTTTTTTAGTTTAATTCTGTCCCAGTGGAAGTGGAGGTTTGACAGGACCCAAATGCAGACGTGGTTACTTGAATGTTTAATAATAAAAAGGGTAACAGAAGCAAAAATCCGAAAACATGAATCCACAAAATTCTAAAAATGCTGAAAACCAAGAATACTTACAACAAGAAGAGCACAAAGTAATGACGACAAACCAGCAAAGAGTAACTGAGCAGGAGGAGATTATATGGGAGAGTGAAACAAAGAGCAGGCTAATTAGCAGATTGGGAGCAGGTGTGAACAGAGGCAAGAAGGGAGCTACAGAAAAAGGAGACTGACACAAGAGGGCCAACAGGAAATATCGAAGAACTCAAATACAATCAAAATACCTTGAACACAAGATTGAAAAATAAGACCAATGAAAAGTCAAAGATAAAACTTGAACAGAACCAAAACCATGACAAATTCCCCAAACATACATTTTTTTGCACTTTGCAGCCCTTCACTACTTTATATTGGCTTATCTGATAAATCAAAAAGAAACCCACTCAACTTGGTGTTAATGGTGTTAATTGATTGATTATCTTTATTGATCACAAAATGGAGAAATGCACTCACTACATCAGCTCAAATAATCAAGAAGAAGAATGGGCCAAAGGAAGAAAAAGGTAAATGGAATAAATACAGTGTATTCAGTTCATCCACATATGAGAGCTTTTTTTAAATAAGATCATTATACAGTGTTATTGCACAGGGTTATTTATATAGATGGATATTTATAGTTATATATATAGTTATTGCATTGGGTTTCAGATATAGAGAAACAGGTTATTCCACAGGGCATCGAATAGTTAATTATGGGAAACTCTACATAATCAGAGGCGTAGCCAGAACATTTTTATAATGGTGGCCAGGCAATAACCAGTGTACACTGAGGGGTGGCCGAAAGTAGATAGTCACCAGAACCTCACCGTCAATTTACACTGTTCCAACAGGAAAATTAACGAGCAAAACATCCATATTTTCTAAATAAAGACAAACTATACTTTCCCACAGCCTTTGCTAACAAATAGATGAATATATTTAAACATCCGTGCTTTCTAGATAAAAGGTAAAGTGGATAAAATTCTTTCAGGTTTGAGTTTTGAGCAAACATCTTTTCTATTGTCATACCTTACCTACTTGTATCAATAATCATTCTGCATAAAATTGGCATTAACAAGTACTAATATCTACATAAAATTATTATTTAATGTTTTATTAAAATAGTTGTTTATCTATGATTTCATTGAAGACTCCTAGATGACTTGCAGAGACACATCATTTTCTCTTTACCTCATAAAACACAAAATCTATTTCTAAAAAGAGCATGAATTCTGCACTTATCATCTTTAATGTTAGTATATTGATGTGCAGAATTACCCACAGTGTTTTTGTCGTCAAGTAAATGTTAATATATAATATTAATATTAAGGGCTGGTTATACTCCTACAGCAGTGTGTCGCTTGACGCGACTTTCTTTATTTATGCTCAATATTCAAGCATGGTCTGCGCTATACGCTGTGGGTCTAGATACGTCCAAGGCGGTGGGGAAGTGGGGGTGAGTTTGTCCGACAACGGAGGTACATGACGGTGAAAAAGAGCCGGGATCCAGGTGGAAAAAGGGTCCCAGCGTTCTCGCACATCTCGCTCTTCTAGCTGGTCCATCTTCACGAGTTGTTTTCCGCAATTGCGGTCAGAAAAACAAAACAAGTCGGCCTCCTGTCTGTGGCACTGTCTGCGGTCAGTTACAGTTTGGGAGAGGTGCAGCAGAGTGTCTGCAGATGACCTAGTTTCGAAGTATAAATAAGCCTTTAGAGGGAAATTGATTGGGTAAGGGTGGGCATGGCCACCCCTGGCCACCCATCTAGCTCCGCCCCTGTAGGTTGCAGCTTTTTTTCTTCTTCTTTTTTTTTCTTTTTTTTTTTTACCATTAGTTAAATGCATGGAAGTCATATCTTCTATTTATATGTTGAGGTTAGAGTGAGTATGAAATAAAATCAAACTAAAGCTGCAGCAGAGGAAGATGTAGTTTCAGTATGCAGCAGTCTAACCTACTTACAATCCCCCCTGTCATTATCAGAGTCCAGCGCTTCGGGCCGACTGAGCTTTTACCAGCAAATACTCTTGAACCAGGAGCAGCATCTCTAAAAAAGAAACAAATCTGTCGGACTTTGTGGTTTGATATACTCACCTTTAGCAGACATGCCCGGTAGGTAGAGCCTCTTTTCCTTTGCTGAGACCGAATAGTCGAAGAAGCAGAGCCGGTGCAGCAGCTTAGAGGAAACTGGCAGTAGATGATCTTTGCTTTAACTTATTAAATGGCATTAAATGGCAGGGAAACATTCAGCGGGTTGGACTGGAGAGGAAAACGCGATGGAGAGAGCAGTTTCCAGCTGCAGGGCGTGTCCTGGAAAAGACAGCATCATTTCTTTTTTTTATCTCCCAAATAGTTTCTGTCCATATTTGAACATGATATCAGGTAATTATTCAGTAATTAATAAGGTTATTGATTAAATGCATTCTCCTGCAGCTGGATTCAGGTCTAATGAATGTTACAGCGGCTCCCTGTCTGAGACCACTGCGCTTATATGTTGCAAAGCTGACAGAAAATCCTGCAGGTAAATGGGCAGATTTGCAGTTAAATGTTGGAGAAACGAGCTGTACCTGCAGATTGGGGTTACATAAAGAAACATGGGCTGGTTCGTTTGGGAAAAATTATTGCACTTAAAGGAAATTTATTTGCAGTTTGTTTATTAATGAGTTCATGCAGAACAGCCACTACAGCTGACAGTTATTCAAAGGTCGTTTTCTTTCATGCGTTTGTGTGTGTTTTTAGTATGTAAACCACATCTGTGGCCTCTTTTGTGTGCACTGCCCCCTACTGGGTGATTGGTGTCAGTTCAAATATTCAAACTTTCATTCTGTCGAGGACCAAAAAGGGCCACAATCCTAAAAATGTAATTTAAATAAAATGTTGGTTTATTAAAGGCACAAACAATACATATATATATATATATATATATATATATATATATATATATATATATATATATATATATATATACATATATACACACGTATATATTAATAAACTGTGTTTGTTACAATTAGATTTCACAAAAATAAATTAGATATTGAAAATATAATTAATTTGAATCATACACTATCATTCCATAGTTCCTTCACTAATAATATAATTTATATAATATATGAATTTTATTGATCTCACATTGGAGAAATTTACCACTGCATTAAACCCATCTCCTTGGGGAGCAGTAGGCTGCCATCGTGGGTCACTGGGGAGCAGTGTGGGATTGAGGGTCTTCCTCAGAGACCCAGAGTGGCAGTCTGTGGCAGTGGGGCTTAAACTCAGAACCTCAGGATTTAAAGCTCTATGCCTTGACCACCAGGCTGCCACTCTCCCTCCACCACCTCCAACTAAAACCAGACAGACCATGACATTTGATTGGTTATGATGCACTCTTGTCAATAAGTTGGCAAGTCAGATGGAACATGTGTAGCACTCCGGTGTAGAGCTCCACACTATTAAAATGGGACTTTCCCCATTGGATCTGTTCAGACAGACGAGGATTATTCCGAAGAAGCTTTTGAGCTGGACGAAGCAACACCTAGTTGGGTTTAAGCCAATCGTGGTAACAAATGAAAAAGCAGCAGACACCATAAGAAACCACAGATAGCAACAGTTAGGTGAGCACCTTCCTATGCTGCCATGTTTATTGCGGTTTGGGCTCAGCAGCTCTCACTTTCATCACAGCTATATGTCCTGATTTAAAGCATAATACTGCAACATGATTGTCTGACCTGTTTTGGCTAGGTCCTGAATAATTTAAGGCAAAGTGGTACAAGATGGATTTCTGTGCATTTGTGAATGCATAAATACTTAAGAATTCATATTATAGGCCAGGTTGAATTGTCAGTGGTTTTCACACTGACTACAATACCATGGATGAGATGGTCAAATTCATGAGGTTCTTTAATACAGAGATAGTACATTTATTTTTTTACACTTAGATGTATAATTACACGTTTTTATGTATTATTATTTAACTTTTTCATATTGACATTTCTTACAAGTATTTGTGCAATAACAATATCTATGTATTGTGTTTCAGCACTTCAGGCTCTTGATATAAAAGTGCTGCAAAAATTCTTATATTGGATTAATCAAAAAACTAAGAGAGGCATTAAATAATTTGAAGATCTTTTAATAATGTTTAGTAATTGATTAAATGCACAGGTGACTATTAAAGGTGTAAGTCATTAATCAAAAATAATTCATATTTCACATACATATATAAAACCTTGTTTTGTGCAACACCCTTTTATGACACAATTTGAGCTTCAACTATGATTTCTCAAATAGAGAAAAATATTTGAGTGGTTAACCTACAAAGCTGTACTCACTTTGACTGCAGGACAGTAGACCTTATCTATCACTTGATGAGTATTGTTTAGAGATAAAATAAATATTAAATTTAATTGTCAAAATTTTACGAGCACCTTAAATAATTGCACAATGTTTTAAGACATAGCTTTAATAATATGTATGTGGCTGTTTTTTCTATAATGAAATTTCAAACATATAGTCACTAATTAAGCCCAGATCAGACAGCAGAATTATCTCCAAATAATATGCCATAAAGCTATCTAAACATGGGAATACAGAATCCATAAAGAGGAAATGGGCAAAATAAATTAAGGTTATAATCTCACAAGAAAGCTGGGAGGGAATATGTCAGTAGCAGTGGATCTCAACCGGATCAAACACATGGCTGGAGTTCTGCTGGAAAAACATCATACGATTTTTTGTTATACCCATTTAGAGACGATATCAAAACAACGGGCTGCTGGAGACTCTGCAGGTCTAAAGGAGCCAACCACTTCCATGTTTTTTGAGACTGTCAGGTAATAAAACCATATTGGGAAGATTTCCACAAACATATTGAAATATATTCAATGTAAGCATTCCATTCAAATGTGAAACGTATCTGGGCAACTTAAAATTGGACACATGGACTAATAAAGGCAAATAACTTCTACTGGCAGCCAGTAAGAAGGCCAAACCAGATAAATGGATTGAAATTGTTTACCTGATTTATGTTATGGAAAGGATCTATTTTTCCCCTCCAAGTCAAAAAAGAAAAATTT